TCATGTCTTTCATATTAGTTTTTCGTTAATTGTTTTGTTATAAATTAGGCCGTTCGTTTCTCAATTGAATTATTTCATATTTTCATGTCGGGGCCTTTTATAGCCGACTATACGGTATGGGTTTTTCTCATTGTTTTAGGCCGTAAGGTTAACTGCCTATAATTGCTTACATCCACTTTATTTTAACTTTGGTGTATAGTTGTCCCATTGGCAACCATACCTCATCTCCTTATTTTCATATTTATAAACGATATTTGATCAAATTCAACCTAAGCGATTTCAGCCTCTGCCGTGTTTGGTTGTAAGTAACTTAATTACAGACAGTCGCTTTCCCAACAGTGATAATGACTCCTGATGACGCCTCTCCCTTTACTCCATAATAACGCATTTTGACGCCTCTATTAGTGCCTTAGTTGAAACGTTGAAAAAACGGTATGAGACTTCTTAAAGTTGCATCAACTATTAAAGGATGTTATTTCGCCATGCATTAATACTTTAATGTGATGATGTTTTAATAGCCGTCGCCTTTTTTGGAAGGTCTTGTTAACAACCAAGATTTCAGAACACTGGCATGGTCATGTTTACGATCTATTGTTGGTTATGGATACCAGCTTGTTATCATATACATAATCTTCATTATGTACGATACAGATTGTGCATACACTGATTTTTCGTAAGACAATCTTGATGTTTGAAAAAGACGAAGTCATCATCAGTGTTCCCTCCTGCTTTGGAGTCGTAGGAGATAACAAAAGATTGTTACTTAGTATTACATTATACTCTTTAGTAAATTTGTCAATGTCAACGTTTGCTTGTGGAAACGCAAGTATCGATTGGATAAAAAAAAAATGAAAAAATCAAATAGAAAAACAGTATTAATCTGAACAATTCTGAAAAAGTTTCATTGAAATCCAGGCACTGGTTTCGATTGTTTCATCAGCAGGAAAACTGACAATCCTAGTCAATTAAGGATGTTCGCTACTCTGTTTCAAAAAAACAAGTCTTTAAAAAGACTGTGATAAATTGATAGTATATAAATAAAGGAACTAACAAAGCAGAAAAAAATTAAGGGTCCGTGTGCTTGTTTTCGAGATACAAGCCACTGAAAATTTGGCGGGAAATGATTCTCTCTAGATTTTTCAAACTTTTAACATTGTCCGCTTTTCTCTTTTAAAAACTATGAAAAAATAACAAGGATTTTGTAAGATTTTCAAATATGGCTTTTAAAACTATATGTAATAAAATTATGAAAAGAAAAGTAGGGGTTAGGGGACAAAATTTTTTAATGGCAAAACATGGATAAAACCAGAGGATTTCGAAAATCTGGCAAAAATTCTACAACAAGAGGAGCGAACAGCCTTAAGATAGGAGTCAAATGCATCTGCCACGTGCGCATAGTCGGATCCAAAAGGGGGGCTGGGGGCCCGGGCCCCCCTTTCGTGGGAAAATTTTGGTTGATTATATAGGGAATCAGTGAAGCATGACTTTAGCGGGCCCCCTCTTATGGCAGTCAGTGCCCCCCCCCCCCCTTATAAATGGATCCGCCACTGGTGCGGAGTTTGAACTCAGAACCTTAGAGATGACAGACTAGAGATACAGTATTAAGACTTCTTACAGATGCGAATCCAGAATTATGAAAAGGGGGCCCGGTGCCCGAAACTAGGCAACGTTTGGAGTGGAACATGTAAAAGTATACATTTACTATATACGTAGCTCCAAAAGGGGGCATTATTACGATATTGTTAGTATGTTTTAAGTTTCATGATTGAATAGTAATCTTTAAACATTCTGAATTTTCCTTTTTTACGAAACTTCGAACGATTGAAAATGTTTAATTACAAAGCCCCAGGTTTGGACGGACTAAATGTTGAGTTTTATAGAAAATTCTGGGAACAAATTAAAGATTTGATATTACCCGTTTTCAATTATTGCTTTAAAAAAGGTTAATTAACCAACTCCCAAAAAATTGGAGCTATATCTCTTTTGTATAAAAAAAATGATCCACTCTCCCTTGATAACTATAGACCTATCACATTATTAAATTATTATGTTAAATTATTAGCCTATGACTTAGCGCAAAGATTAAAATCAGTACTTCCAAAAATCATTCACTCTGATCAAAAAGGTTACATAAAAAACAGATACATAGGATTTAATATTAGACAAATCCAAGACATCATTGATTATTCTGAAAAATTTAAAGTAGATGGTGCAATTTTATTTTTAGACTTTACTAAAGCTTTCGACTCACTGGAGTGGTGTTTTATGTTTGAATCTTTAAAAAAATTTGGTTTTAAAAAGGAATTCATTAAATGGGTTGAAACTATGTATACAGATATAAAAGGGTGTATTTTAAATAATGGATGGGTGTCTGCCCCCTTCAATATATTCCGTGGGAATAGACAAGGGTGTCCGTTATCCTCGTTAATTTTCGTTTTATCTGTTGAAATAATGGCAATTAAATTAAGGGAAAATAACAAACTAAAAGGATTTGAAATCAAATTAGATGGAAAATCTTGCTCGCTAAAAATATGTCAATTGGCAGACGGTACTAAATTGTTTTTTAAAAACACGCAAAGAAATAAGTATAGCCCTTAACATTATTGAAACTTTTGGAAGCCTTTCTGGACTTAAACTGATTAGAAATAAAACAGAAGGTTTGTGGCTTGGGAAACTTAAAAAATTCAAAAGATAAATTTGAAAATATAAACTGGAAACAAGACCACATTAAAATTCTAGGAATATATTTTGGATACAATTATCAAGAATGTCATAAATTAAATACAGAAAAGCAAATAGACAAATGTGAAAAATTAATTCAAGGATGGAACAAACGAAACTTAACATTAATAAAAAAGATAAATGTAGTTAAGTCTTTAATTTTACCAAACCTAACATACATTGCATCAAGTATGATAATAACACAGGAAATAAAGCAAAAGTTCAAGAATTTAATATATAATTTTATATGGAGTGGAAAAAAAGGTAAAGTTAAACGTACTATATTAAGTAAATCATATATTGAGGGAGGATTACAAATGATTGATTTAGACTGCTATCTAAAATCATTACAAATCAGATGGGTTTTAAAACTTATCAAAAAGGAAAATGATAACTGGAAAATTATTCCAAGATTTTACCTTGATAAATTTGGGAAAGATTTTCTTTTTTTCAGAATGAATTTAACAAATGTTAATTTGCTTAATAAAATAGATTATAAATCTTTACCTGAATTCTATAAACAATTAATTAAAACATGGGTAGAAATAAAAGGAGGTCAAACAATCATACCAAGAAACTTTCTTCAGGTTAGAAAACAACTTATATGGGGAAATCATCTTATCAAAGAAAATGGGAAATGTCTGTTCTTTCAAAACTGGATTAATAGTAATATTTTGTACATCAATAATATATTAGATGAAAACGGATACATCTCATCAGAAACTGTACTAAAAAATTTAAAGAATAAACAAGATTGGATTAGAGAATTTTCATTAGTTAAAAAAGCTATACCAAAGCACTGGCAAAATATTTTAAAACAAGAAAGCTCTTACAAAACTGTTGTCAATATAAAAACATCAGTGAAGTTAAATATACTACTAAAACATGAAATTTCACCAGATATGAGTAACAAAGAAGTATATACTTTCTTGCAAAGTCAATTTACACATGATAAACCGACAGGAGTTTTAATGTGGGAAAGAATTCTTCATAAAAAAATGACTACAAAATTGAAGTCCACATTTAACTTTATTTTTAACTACCTTGAAAACAACAAATTTAAAATGTTTAAATGGAAAATAATACATTATATATTAGCCTGTAATGAATTACTTTATAAATTGAAAATAGTACCAAGTGGTTTGTGCTTCTATTGTAAGCAACATGATGATTATAAACACTTCTTTTTTTCCTGTTCATATAATGTTCATTATTGGCTTAAAGTTGACCAGTTATTAGCATTTTTAAAAATTGATAAGCATATACTTAGTCTTGAAAGTTTAGTAACCGGCTATAACATTGATGATGAAGCTTATTTTGATATGAACTATCTATTAACTATAATTTTCTTTTCCATCTATAAAGCATATTATATGTCTAACAAGAAAGATAAGGTCATTGATATCTTCAAAATCTTCAAAAATGAAATCTGGGACATTATTAACATAAATAAAATCAGAAGCAAAAAAAACAAGAAAATAATACTCAAAACAAGGGAATATTTCGAATTCCTTTAAATGAAATGACAATTATTAGATACAAGTCTTAGCTGTGACCTCATTAATACATGACTGCACATGTGTCCTGTCAATTGGTGTGCATTAACTGAAATTCGCAATTTCACTCTTTTATAATTTATTACAGCTACACTGAATTAGAATTGTTATTAAATATGTTTATTCCTGTTCACAATGCGAAATTATAATGAGCAGGAGAGCGAGCAGAATACACAACACAATGCAACGTTACTGCATACATGTATAATTTGAAGACCACGTGTACTTTCGATCAACTTTCGATCTTCGGCTTTATCATAGAAATCAACATTTACTGTCAAAAAATAATATGTGAAAAAAAACATTTTTACCTCATCATCCAAGACTTCTTATATAATTCAGTGTTGTAAACAAAACAAAAAGTTTTAAGTTCAAAATTCTATTGTCGGCTGAAGAGTCGTGCTATCAGTATCAAAGATCAATACATCATCAATTTCGCGGTTCAGTGAAGCTTTAATAAAAAAATCATATACAGTATTATAGGTTAAGAAACGTACCGTATTCCGGTAAAAAACAAAAATTATGTAGAATTGTTCTAATGTATTGATCTGTATTAATATAACTTACTTTATAGATATACTTTATTGAATATCTTTCCCTAGATATTCAATAACTAATTTAAAGGGATACTTAATTGAAGCTGTAGATTGAGTAAATTGTTAACAGCAGAGGTGCAATAAAATTGATTAATTAAAAAAAAAAAAAAGAAAATGTTTAATTATTGTACATGTTGCTATGGTGACGGTAGCGCTTTATTCACAACAAAAGAATTTAACATCATTAAGTGCGGTATCGTCGGCTCCTCCTCCTTGAACTGGATGGATTTTGGTTTGTATACCACATATTGCACTGTTAACTGGACAGGCGTCACTCCATTCACCATAAGTACCATAAATTCCATACCCAGGAGGATAGCTCAGGTCGAAGTCACTTACATCATCTTTAAAATATCTGCATTTAAATTTGACGTAATTGGCACCTGTATTATCACTTTCGACCACCTATCATACAACAGAAAAATAAGTTATAATTTCACGTTGGTAAACAGAGAAAATATGTATCGATGAGTCTGTAAAATGAAGTATAAAAAGTAATAAATATAAATATAAGAAGCTGTGGTTTGATTGCCAATGAGACAATTACCATCCAGCAGAGTACAAACGACAAAGCGGTAAGCAATTATTGGTGACTACAGTCTGTGTGATACACTGCAGTCTGTGTGATACACTGGAAACGGTGAAATGCCATGATTTAAGTAAAAGTAAAATAAAAACCGATTTCACTCTTTCGACGTCATCCACTGGGGATAAAGTCTGAATATCAATTTTTAGAAATTCCGTCCACAGAATTCCAAACAATCGTCTTTTACTCTCGGTAAAAATTAATTACTAGTCTCGGTATGTAGATTGTCAAAACCGTTGAAAAACAAAATAATCGTTACGTTATGATTTATTGTGTTTTTTTTCCATGAATCACTCAAACTTTAAATAAATAAATAGATAAATGAATAATCTTTATTTCAAGAGGATAATCCCATTAGTTAAAACTAATCTTCCTGAGAGTCCTCAAAATAATAATATCATAACAGAAAGTACATACAATACTATAATGATATATACGCAATATACAATTTTATATAGATATTAACGAAAAAGCATATTAATCTGCCTTCTTCATGAAAAAATTGTAACATTTTGCTATTAAAGATACAAGTGTATTACTCATCTTTATTTCATTTGGTAAACTATTCCATATTTGAGAACCAGAATATATAAAGGTTTTCTTAAACAAAATTGTTTTTGGCTTCGAAGTTTCAACAGTTTTTCATCAGCTGAACGTAAATTATAATTAGGATTATCAGTAACATGAAAGTTTGCTCGTCAATAGTTGGGAACCACATCCTTTAATGATTTAAATACAAGTATTGCCTTTTGATATTGAATTCGTTTTTTTCCACATTCAACCAATTTAAACTATTAAACAATAAAGTGGAAGATGTCATTATGTCAGCTTCTACCATAACTAGCAGATTTCTTTAATAGCTTATTACTTTCATTACAACTATCCCATTTATTGCAACAATAATCAAATAATGGCAGAATATAAGCATTTAAATAAATAATATGTTTATGCATAGGTAAATACTTTCATATCTTTTTAATAAGTTGATTCTATTTGACATTGTACATGACATTTAATTTATTTGCTCATTTCAATTTAGGTTATTGTCGATGTATTAACCAAGAAGTTTTGTCACAATTTACAGTCTCTAATCGTCCATCTGAAATATTGATATCTAAATTGTTCCCAGTTAAACAAAGCCTCTGTTTTTAACCGATAATCATTGATTTACATTTTTTGGCATTTAGTTTCATACAATTTTCCGAACACCAGTTTTCAATAATATAAATATAATTTTGAAGATCATGGATATAAGAAGATGTGGTATGAGTGTACATTATTATATTCACTATGTTAAATTGAATCATCTGCATATAAATTTATCAATAAATTTTCTATGTTCAGTGGTAAATCATTGATGTATAAAATAAATGATAGAGGGCCAAGCATGGAGCCTTGTGGTACACCAGTTTTTATGTATTTAGTATCAGACATGTCATTATTGACCTTAACTTGTTGAATTCGTTAAAACATGTATGACTTAATCCAGTCTATTGTACAGTTTGAAACATTAAAATATTCAAGTTTTTTTTCAATATAATTACATGATTAACCAGATCAAAAGCTTTCTTTAAATGTAAAAATATAACTCCGTTTATCTCTCCATTATCTATTTGTGTTAACCATTCATCTACTATCATCTACTAATGAAGTAAGTGCAGTAGTGCACGAATATTTAGGTCTGAATCCTGACTGTGTAGTATAAAGAAGGTCATTACTATTTAAATATATATATATAAACTATCAGCGATATGTTATTCTACGATTTCGGAGAGACAAGGCAAAACTGCTATTGGTCTATAATTATCAGAATTTAAAGCATCGCCACTTTGAAAATTTTGCAAGCTCTTGCAGTTTTAACAATACTAGAAAATTTACCACATTTAATGCTTAGACGTAATAGATATGTTAAAGCTGGTGCAATGACATCACTACACATACTCAACAGTTTTGGTCCATCATCTAAACCAGTTGCTTTGGACTTGTCATTTGTTTTTAAATACATTTTTACATCTAAAATACTCATTTCTGGTATAATGAATTTTTCACTGCTCCTTTGATTTTACAAATCTATTGAGTACATCGAAACTTGGACCTTCATCGTCATTACATAATCTGTTACCAAATATACCTTCACCAATATTTGTGAAATGCACCTGTCCTAAGTCAGGAATATGATGTTCAGTAGTTGTCGTTTGTTGATGTGGTTCATAAGTGTTTCTCGTTTCTCGTTTTTTATATAGATTAGACCGTTGGTTTTCCCGTTTGAATGGTTTTACACTAGTAATTTTTGGGGCCCGTTATAGCTTGCTGTTCGGTGTGAGCCAAGGCTCCGTGTTGAAGACCGTACTTTGACCTATAATGGTTTACCTTTATAAATTTTGACTTGGATGGAGAGTTGTCTCTTGGCACTCATACCACATCTTCATATATCTATATATTAAATGTATTTGCTATATCAACATCATTTTCAATTAGATTATATTCATATTTTAAATGCGTAATATCATTATGTGATTTTTGGGGGTTTAAACTTTTAAGTTAAACATACTTCCATTTAGTTTTACTATCTTTACAATTTGAAATAGCATTTTGAAAAATTTTTTTTTTGCTTCTACTAAAATGAAACCTTTTAACGCCAAATTGTATAATTATAATTATACATACATGTATCTACAATTCTATGAAAATAATCTCTTTAGTGTCGAGGGTTATTTATATCAGAAGTCCACGACTCTTGTTGTTGAGTATTCTTCACCCTTTTAATTTTTTCTAGGAGCATGCTTATCTAGGGTATTTAAATATAATAAATTATGCCATACATTGCAGCTTCATCAATATCTCCAATTGACTCAATGAGATGAAAAGGAGTATTTGTTAAATTTTCAATGAATTCATTTTGATCAAATTGTTTGAACGATCTGTATTTTATAGATGAATGCTCCATTTTTTTATATTTTTGAGTTGAGTTTTCTTATTACGTATACCTAATTGTGATCACTGACAGCATAACTAGGCACATTTACTTCTATAACATGGTCGACATCGGTAGTATGAATATGGTCTATAGTTTATATTGAAATCTCCTAAAAGTATATTAATTTCTTTATTTTCTGTTGACGTCTTTTCTATTTCAATTTTAAATGAATCCATCCAAGATTGCAATGAACTTGGCGGACGATAAAAAATGCCTTTCAAAATAGATTTTGTGTTTGGAAATTGAATTTCAATCTATATAGATTCAATACCATCTACATGTTTTTTTTGTATTTCTATATCAATTCTTCTCTCGTGACATACACAATTTCTTATGTACGCAATCACATTTTCGACGTCCTTAATAGTCTTTCTATTTTTTCTTTCTATTTTATAACCTTCAATTTGCAATGTTTCCGTACCAATTTCATCTTTAAAAAAGGCTTTTTACCACATCAAATATATCAAATAATTGTTCATTTTTCGTTTCATTACGTACAGAATTTGGTATATGCAAATCAAAACAATTTATTTATTTTGAATTCATGTCTGTCCATTACGTTTTTTGTTTCCTTTAGGTTGAGTCTTGAATGGTTGAAATTTCGCCTGTCTATTGCGGTCATATTACTCCGTAAATGATATCTTGGTTTGAGAGGGCTCCGTCTGAATTATTTGTATAATTTCGAGAACCGGAACTTTTTGTAGTGTTGGTATAATTGATGTTGTAATGGTTTTCCCTTGAATAATTTTAATAATTTTATTCACGTTTGTCAACAGCTTTATTCTTTAATATCTAATTGAGTTGAATGCCATGTATATGGTTAAAGGATTTGGCTATGTTGTCATCCATATAAACAAAAGATTCATAATTCGATACAAATTTTTCTCCATTATGTTGACACATTTGTATTAAGATCCTGTCATATACAGTGACATCACAGTCTAACCTTAGCAATATTCCCAACACAATTGCTCGACATTTTTTACTTCTTTCATAGTAAATCATTTCTTGGTAAATTTCAACCAATTGTTGTAAATTCTTATTACTGCTGGCATCATTTCCCCCGAAATAAATAACCATTGCATTATATGAACTTAGATCCTCGGTGAACATGAACATCCATGTATTCTTTTAATTTTGATGGGTTTATTCCTTTAAGAACCAAATAGCCTGCAATTAGAACTCTACTTTCCGATAAAGGCAGTGTTTGTTGTTTGTCATACATAGGATTTTGTGGTTTGTGAATTGGCTGTTATATATCATCAAATGTTGTTTTCGGCATTGTTTGATTTTCATCTACAATACATGTACCTTGGTTACTGAGGTTCTCCACCTGCGTAAAGCTTCTTTGTGGTGTTACTGTTTCCACTTCGTACAGGTTTATTTTGTCACTAATGCTCAGTGTTTTTCCTTGTAATATTGTTTGCTATTCGCAGTTGACAGATTGTTTGCTTGGGTAAATAATTTTTATTCGTTTTAAATGTGTTACAACGGTAGTTAGGTAGTTTAGCGTTGTACTGAAGTCTTGAGTATTTAATTGTGATAATTTGTCCCCTATTTCATTTGATCATGTGTTTCTTTCATTTCAATTGGTCGGCTTTATATATTCAAGTTTTGCTTGTTTATCATCTGACGTACCTATAGTTGTACCGACTGACAATTTTGACGGTTCCAGACCTGTACTCGACGATACATCATCTTTTATTGACTTTGTTGTACTGTTATCTGAACTGTTTGATATTTCAATAGTACGTGTATCTTCGGGATTTAATTGCTTCATTTTCTTTACATCTCTTACAGAATTATTATTGCAATCTTCTTTTCCTTGTTTTTTCATCAATA